CAAGAGCTGGACACTCAACCGACTGAGCCACCCAGGAGCCCCTAAGTTGCTCTACAGTTCTGACATAATATGCATATCTAAAATTTACATACGGATGGGAATCCCATTTTGAGCAACAAAAGGATGTTCATTACAAGAACTACTTATGTTGTTGAGCATCTGCCTTCGGCTCAGGTCATGATCCCAGGGTCCTGGGATCGAGCCCCACATCGGGCTCCCTGCTCCACGGGAAGCCTGCTTCTCCCTCTCGCGTTGTGTCTCTGTCAAATAAGTAAAATCTTAAAAAAAAAAACCCTACTTACGTCAACCAGAATTGCCTGGTGGGATGGGGATGGAGGTTGTTTACGTAAGTGTGCAGATCTGAGCCTCCAGGTGAGGCAACTATTTAACTGCTCTAGATTTAAGCATTGACCTGCGCACACAAACGTCACCCCAGACAGTGCTTCTCCTTTGACAACTTCCTTTAATTCCCTTCATCCCCAAAGCCAGCTTGCCCAGGGACAATTAAAAAGCAAGATCTGGGGGCACCTGGGTGGCTCACTCAGGTCTTGGGGTCCTGGGATCCAGCTTCTGTTGGGCTCTGTGCCAAGTGGGGAACCTGCTTGGATTCTCTCCCCCTCCTGCCCCGCACTAAAATGTTCTAAAAAATAAAAAGCAAAGATTTGAAATTACCAGGTTTGTGTGGGGACAGGGAACCCATCTTAATGATCTTAACTCCACTTCCTCAATTTATGCCCAGATGCAATGGCACATGGAGACAGATGGATATTCATTGCAAATCACATTCATGTAGGTGCTCACGGAGCAGCCCTACCCGATGTCCTAAGTGAAGTTAAGTACTGCTTTCCGACTGAGAGAACAGTGGAAGGAGGGACGCCTGGGTGGCTCAGTTAAGCGTCTGCCGACTCAGGTCATGATCCCAGGGTCCTGGGATGGAGCTCCCTGCTCGGCAGAGATTCTGCTTCTCCCACTCCCTCTGCCCCTCTCCTGGGCTGTGCTCTCAAATAAAACCTCAAAGAGAAAAAAAAGAAATGGGACAAGCACAAGCAGGGTCGTTCCAGTCAAAATATATTTACACCAACAGCATAAACTGACAATGATTAGCCAAGGTAGGCCTCTTAGCAGTTGACTTTTTTTTTTTTAATATTTATTTGACCCAGAGGAAGAGAGAGAGCACAAGCAGGGGAAGTGGCAGACAAGCAGAGAGGGAGGGAGAAGCAGGCTCTCTGCTGAGCAAGGAGCCCCATGTGGGGCCCGATCCCAGGATCCTGGGATCCTGACCTGAGCCGAAGGCAGCTGCTTAACCAACGGAGCCACCCAGGCGCTCCAGCAGTTGACTTTTAAGTAGGCTCCATGCCCAGTGTGAAGCACAATGCAGGGCTTGAACTCATGACCCTGAGACATCAAACTGGATGCCTGACTGAACTATGCAGGGGCCCCCAGCAGTGACTTTTGAGCTGGAAGTCCCATATTGAGTCACCTCCATGAAATCGCGCAGACCATTCCAGAAAAAGAATGTATGTAGAAACCCAGAGGTTCACTTATAGGAACAGAAATTCAAGGGTTGTAGGCCTGATCCTACAGAGAAAGCAGACTCCACAGAAACCATGTTGAAGGTTCATGGGCAGAAAAGGGCAGTGAAACACCAAAATCTGACAGCCACTTTTTTTGAGTCTAAGGGATCCTAAGCCTTGATGGTCATGCTCCAAGCCAGTGCCCTCAGCCAAGCCTGCTAAAGTTATCACCCAAACCCAGCACACATTTCACAGTGAGGCAGGTGGTGGTGAACCTTAGGAGATCTACTGAGGCTCCTTGAACAATGCTTCCCCGAGCTGGACAGCAGTAGGCAGGAGCTGGACAGCAGTAGGCAACCTGCCACACTAAACAGAACAGCGCTGACAAGGACAAATTCCCCAGGATTATTTCCTTCTGCCCACCTAGACACTAAAACACATGAGCCACAATGAAGGTTAAACTTTTATTTAAAAAGGCTGAAACAACTGTATGCTAATTTCCACAGCTAGGTTGTACAAAAAAAATGACCTGAAGATTTCCTTTTGGTATCCCTGAAGAACTGGATTCCTGTACAGGAAAGAAAGAAAAAAAAGTGAGTTTCCTTATTAGGTATGAATGTATTATGTTGAGTTTGTAACTGGCTACCCCTTTAAACTAGTTCACGTTAAAAAGTTAGTTTCCAGGTATACTTTATGTTTATCTAGGCCTATTAAATATTAAACACCGATATTTGAACAGATGCATACCTGTGATACAGGCCTTGTTCTTTCTTCAGACCTGGAACACAAATATACAATCTACTTCAGCAAGTGATTTATTCCCTTTCCCATATTTAGAAATCCCTTATGATCCCTCAGACAGTTCCTTCTGGAACAAGCTTCCTCTTTTCCTCCAGCCAGCCCCAGTGGGTTCACCTTTACAGGCTCTGGGACTGGGACAGGAAGTAAGACATGTGACTGTTTCTTCACTGGGAGTTCTAGTTTGGGCTACCCTGCACCACCTAGATTTACTCACCTCTGACTTCAGACTGGAGCTGATCAGCAAAGTGGCTGAGGGTTCCTGCAAAAGATTGAGAACTAAGCCTCTCAAACATCTCCAGGGTTCCCTATTGCTGAGAGCAGAGGCACATCTGTAAAGGCTTTGTAGGTTTCAGAATGCTTCTTTTACAGTAACCAGGTAGTCCACAGAACTTCCTATTGGCTTGAAGCCTACTTGATAAACTTTTCTCACTGTTGTCACTTTGTTCCAAGGCAAGCTCACAGCTCAGAAAATACCTTTCAGTCACAATGATCAGACTGGGGCGGTATCGAATTCATCACTGGTGAGGGGGAGCTTGTTGTAGGTGGTTCTAGCCACAGACAAGACTCTGGAGTGAGCCAGTAAGGTCTTCTTATAGCTACCCAGACAAGTGGCACCCAACACACAGCCCCCAAAAACACCCGGCAAATTTTATATAGCAGCTAAGTGATGTTACAAAGGCATTTACCTTCAATCATTCTTGGGCTCCACATAAGGCGCTGGACCTGAAACAATTAAGAACAGAGTCAGTAATGCTTACGTCCAACAGTAAGAGTTTTTCCTGCTTAAACTATCATTCCTAGGAAAAATCAGATTTCCGAGTCTCAACAGCAAGTCATCAGCCGAACGAGATTCCATGTTAGTCATCATGTATTTAGACCTTCGAAAGGGTATTTTTTTCTACCCAATATGCTCCATGAACCACATATGGAAACAACTCACCTTTGAGCAGACAAGCAGGTTAATGGGTAACAGCACCTAGAAAAAGACAAAAATGTAGGTGGATAAAAAGCCCTTCCACATAGCATCCCTCCACTCCTGCCTTCTCCAGTTTCTCAGGTGTTCACTTATTTTCATTGTGTAGGTCATAGTGAGCTAGTTTGATTCATCATGGAAACCGCCTACTTGGTGGCATGAGCCACAGACATTAATCCACTAACCTGTTAACTCCGGAGGCTTTTGGGCAGCACACAGGAACAAGCTGCTCCTGAAAGAGAACATTACGTAATTAGTGAGGGATCTAAAACAGCCACATCCATTCTAGCTATGGTTAATGGATTTAAACTAAGAAAAGCCAAGCAGATGCTACTGACAGGCATACACTGGTACCTCAGACAGTTCCTTACGAACAAATTCTCATCCTTTCTCCCAGTTAGCCCCAGTGGGTTCACCATTACTGGCTCTGGGGCTAGAACAGGGGTAAGACAGGATGCTTGCTTTCCTCACTGGCACATACTCTGGCAAGCCACAACCACTGAGGTTACAAGTACTCACTCACCATCCTTAACGCTTTCCAAAGTTCAACCCCGGGCAGAATAATCAATGAACATCTAGAAGAAATAGATCAAGGGACGCCTGGCTGGCTCAGTTGGTGGAGCATTCGACTCAAGCTCGAGGTCATGAGTTTGAGCCCCACGTTGGGCATGGAGCCTATGTAAAAAATAAATAAAAAATAAAACTGCTCAGAATAAATAGATCAAGAAACATCACTACAAGAACCAGAAACCTATATGGGTCAATGAAGCGTCTGGTCACAACAAAACATCCACAACAAAATCCTCCTTTGGATAACGAATTCACATATATGCTAATCACAGTATTGGGAGAAACTACTTACTTTAAGACAGAGAAACGTGTCCCCATCAGGACAACCTGCAAAAGGGGAACAAATGGTTATCTAAAAATATAAAATGGAATAAAGTTTCTTCGTTAACAGAAACTGCCATCAGAACTCTAACATGCTATTAATTGTCGCACCTCACAGAGGATCAGCATATCTATTCAAATCATCTGACAGTTGATATATGGGTGAGGGAGAGCACACCCTCACAAGAACTGTACTGCTGGGCTGCTCTCTCCCTCCACAGCAAAGTCATTACAAGAGAACAAGCTGCAAGGAGCAAAAAGGCAATGCTGCTCCACTGGCCATTTGCTCTCCTGGTTGTAGGCAAAACCGGAGAGGACACTCCAATCCCCCATCTGAACAATTCATTACCTGTATTCACCCTGGGAGGCAGTTGGATTCCTCAGGCCTAGTGATGAGAGGCTGAAACAGAAAAGGAAGGCATTTTATGTACCTAAGAATAAGGACTCAAAGACCCTTGAGTACTCTTGGCCCACTTCTCAGTAGGAAGATGACATCACTTTAAGTTCACCCATATGCTTGTCTTTTGTTATGTTCATCATTGAGTGGTCAGCACAATTTGAACAAGAACAAACCCCACCTAGACACTGCCCACCCACACCTGCGGAAATCATTGCATACCCACCTGGAGCATTACTGTTAATACCTAGTTTGCATGACAGGTCTTGTCCCATCCTCCAACCTGTAAGGCCTTTTGAGCTGAACCACATCTGAAAAAAAAAACGAGGAGCACCCCTCACTTAGTTCCACACCTTGCAGTCTGTCTCGCGTGCGTGCCCTAACACCTCCGCGCTAAAACCCCAAGCGTTTGCTGCGGGATGGTGCTACTCAGAATTCTTATGTTTTCTCCACTATCCATCAGAAAGAGAGAGTTCAATTTAAGTATCATCCCCGTAGCACATCCCACGGGACTTGCGTAAACTCCACAACGGAGAAACGGTGGTAAAGAATAGCCATAAACTTACCCTAACAAGTCGGCTCTTCTCCATTCTTCAGCGTCCAAAAGTGCGCCCCGACCCTGTAGACAAGAGGACAGTAAATCAACACTCGTGATTTCACAATCGCTCTTTCCCGGAGCTACGACTGTGCTGGACTTCGGCTATTCAAGGCCCGTCTCTTCAGAGAGTCTTATCCTCACGGAACTCAGTACAGGTCTGTGAGAAGGTTCTCATCACAGAGAGGGCCGCCGCTACGGCCCGCCATCGCCATTTTGTCCTTCACAAAGTTCCGCTGCTGCTTCGTGGATTCAAGGCCATGGCCGAGATCTTACCCTTCCCCCGCCAACCAATAAGTGCAACCTAAATGGTCAGGCGTGCTACGCTCACTTGGTTTAAGAAAATAAAACAAAGAAATCGCCACTCACGTAACGTCGCGAAAAAAAATGAGACCGAAGCGCCGTAGCGCGACACTTAAATACCACCTCGCAGAGGCCCACGGGATTTGGGGGCGGAACTATGGCGGACGCAGGCGCATAAGGAGAGGGCGCGCGAGCCCGGGGAGTTGTGGGTAAAGAATTCCCCGGAAAGCGGGAGTGCCATGCGCACCCTCAGGAGCTGGGGCGCGAAAAAGACGCGCATGCGCTTTAGGGAAGCGCGCGGGCGCCGGTGTCTGTGGGCTGGGGGTCCGTACCCCAGGCTCTCTCTGGGACAAGACCGCGGAGGCTTTGGCTTCGCACCGGTAGTGGGCAACCCTCTGCCTCGGTCACCGCTGCCTGCCCCCACACCCTTTCCTGAGCACTCCCCTTACATACACACCCTAAACCGGTGTGCAGGCTCCGCCTCCACGGATCCCGAACCTCCTGCAGCCTCGACCAGTGTCATCTCGGTCCCCCGCCTGCCGCCCAGGCGCATTCCAGGGCTGGTGCGCAGGGTCCCTGCGTAGCGGGCGTCTTGGGGGAGGTCCTTTGCATGGAGCCATTTCGGAAAATTGAATCAGGCCGTAAGTGCTCTGCTAGAGTCTTCTGACAGGGTCTGATTTTTCCTGAGCGGTTACCTATGACCTGCTGTCTAGTCCGCTGTCGCTAGGAGCTTGGCTTGTAGCTGGACTAATAGTCGCTATCATTGGAAGCACTGTTTTAAGCACACTACACGAATTGATTAGTTCTCCCAAATCCCTAGATAGCCCATTTTATAGATAAGGGACCCTAGGTGTAAAGAGTTCTTATAGAGCTGCTTCCATCTCCCACCTGATCGTCAAGGTGGTTCCAGTCACCTCTAGACCGTTAAGACCAATTGGCTTGGTTCATCAGTAGTTTGCGGTAAGCACCTAGTGTACTTGCAGGTTTTAGAAACATTGCCTAAGCTCTGACTATCTGCTCTGCTGGATGACCTCACCTAATACTGCAACCCGGGAAGGAAGGTAATAAATGTTACAAACGAGGAGACTGAGGTCTAGGGAGGTTAAGTAACTTGCTGGGTATTATCCATTTAAGAGATATCAGAGCCAAGCAGTCTGCAAATCCAGGCAGTCGGATTCCATGCCCACTATGCTTTACTGCTCTCATCTCACAGTTCCTGCTCAAGGTAGTCAGGGAGCAGGAAAATGCACAGGAAACAGATGGAATGATCCCTGGGTCCTGTTTCTCAATCTTTTTTTCATCATCGTCTCCCCCTCCCCAGGAGCCTTAAAAAGACATTTCCCCCTCCAATCCCACTCATGAAATTTTAATACCACTGATATACTGCATATCTGCTTATGTACGATGGCCCTTTGGTGGGCCAGAAACCTCTTTAATATCTAAGATTGTTCTGCCCCTCCCCCTGCCAAACCGATTGTCACTCTTTCGGGGGCAACATTGTCCCTATGTGTGTCCCAGGGTGACATAACAAGTATTCACAACGAGAGAATTCCAGTTTGAATACATTTAGGGACAAATAAATTTATTTACTCAGCAAATATTAATTGCTTGTTCAAATACATGATTGAAAAGTTCTACCAAGGGGCGCCTGGGTGGCTCAGTCGTTAAGTGTCTGCCTTCGGCTCAGGTCATGATCCCAGAGTCCTGGCATCGAGCCCCTCATTGGGCTTGCTGCTCAGCGGGCGGGAAGGCGGGAAGCCTGCTTCTCCCTCTCCCACTCCCCCTGCTTGTGTTCCCTCTCTGGCTGGGTCTCTCTCTGTCAAATAAATAAAATCTTAAAAAAAAAAGTTGTAACAAAATATATAGAAGATGTGGGGGTACCTGGCTGACTCAGTCAAAGGAGTCAGTGATTCTTGATCTTGGGGTGCTGAATTCAAGCCCCACATTGGGTATAGAGATTACTTAAATAAGTAACTACAAAAACCAAAATATTTTAATATATATTCATGTATACACACACACACACACACACACACACATTATATATAATGAAACAGTTAAACCACGGACAATTCAGAAGATCCAGAGTAGGCTGATAGGTTATAGAGGAGTTGTGTGTGGGAATGGGAGTTGGAAATGCTTTATGGAGTGCCTGGACCTTGAAGAGTAGATAAAAAGACTGAAGGGGGGTGGGTGGGGATTCCAGTTAAAATTTGAGCACAGGGGTGCCTAGGTGGCTCAGTCGTTGGGCGTCTGCCTTTGGCTGAGGTCATGATCTCGGGGTCCTGGGATCAAGCCCCGTGTCGGGCTCCCTGCTCAGCGGGAAGCCTGCTTCTCCTTCTCCCACTCCCCCTGCTTGTGTTCCCTCTCTAGCTGTGTCTCTCTCTGTCAAATAAATAAATAAAATATTTAAAAAAAAATTGAGCTCAGGCTTGGAGCTGGAACAGAAAGGAAGTGTATGGATGTTTCCAAAAGTTGGAAAGGGGCAAGTTATTGTTTGGTGTCCTTTTGATGTTGTAAAGTGGGCCAACACACCCTGGGGGTTATCTGATTTTCTAGGGAGTGTGCACTTTTGTTGGACTTCCTATTTGCTCTTGATTTGGTTATTTTATAATTCTGTGAAATCCTTGTGTGACATTAGCCAGTTTTATATCTACCTATGAACAAATTAATTCATATCAGCATTCTTGACGGATGGACTCTAAAATACTCCTTTCCTAGAATTTTCTTTTGAACCAGTCTTAAATCTTATTTTTTCTCTTATTAGTAGGTTGCATAAAATATTTTTTAAAAAGGTTTTATTTAAAAAAAAATTAAAAAAAAATAAATAAAAAGTTTTATTTATTCATTAGAGAGAGAGAGCTCGCGCGCGCAGGGGAGGAGCAGAGAGAGAGGGAGAAGCAGGCTCTCCACTGATGAGGGAGCCTGATCCAGGGCTCCATCCCAGGACCCTGAGATCATGACCTGAGCTGAAGGCAGATGGTTAACCAACTGAGGCACCCAGGAGCCCCTTTCCTGTGGTTTTTACAACAAATTTAATCTGGCTCCCAGGCTCTGGTTTCCTCCCTTTTAATCAATCCATTCTCTACCTTGTAGCAGAGTGATCTTTCCAAATAAAACATTTGTGGTCAAGTCTCACTTCTCAGGGGCGCCTGAGAATAAATATTTATTTGAGAGAGAGAGAAAGTGAGAGACATTTTATTTATTTATTTGTCAGAGAGAAAGAGACAGAGCTTGAGCTGAGGGGAGGGGCGCCACCCCTCCCTTTTAAAGTAATCTCCACACGCAACGTGGGGCTAGAACTCACAACCTCAAGATCAGGAGTAGCACAGTCCACCACTGAAGAAGCCACATGTCCCAAAACTTCCATCTTTCTTGACCTCTCAGTAGCATTTGACACTGTTAACCTGCTCTTCTTCCTGAGCTATTCTCAACCCTTGCTTTCTGGGACCCGGCCCTCTCCTGGGTCTCCTCTTGCTTCTTGGCTATTTTCACTATATCTATCCCTACACGTTCTTCAGGGCTCCGCCCCAGGCCCACTTGTTTTCTCATTCACTATGCTCTGCCTAGACCAACTTACTCATCATCTTGGCCTCATTTACCATATATATGCTGCCATGTCCCCAACATCATCTCAACCCACGATCTTCTGAACTGCACACCTTGTATCTAACGGTCTGCCAGACATCTTCATTGGGATTGCCCGTAAACAGCTCCACTTGTCCAAACCTAAATTCGTTGTCTTTTCCTACAAATCTGTTCCTTCTCCAATGTGCCCTCTCTTGCTCGATTGTGATCATTATCTCCAGAGCAGGTGCACTGTAAATGCTCTCCAGACAAAGACTGCCAGGAACATATTTGTATTGGAGCAACTTGGGTTTATTACTTGTTACAGTGAGGAAGAACCCACACCACGGGAAACCGCAGGGTGTCTCAGTAGGAGGGCGTTAGAAAGAACTTATTGTAGGACCTGGGCTTGTGTTAGGTGATTTGGGGGAGGGTTTAAACAAGTGAGGCTTTACTTTTTTACTCTGGATTTGATGTTTTCAGGACGTGGCGTTGTTTTATTATTGGGTATCTTATTATGTCTTACCTAGAAGGAGGGAAGACTGTAGTCGATGAGGCTAACCTATGATTGGTGAAGAAGCAACAGTCACTCATAGTAGCCAGGATAGGGAGCTGTTTGGACTTTTGTGATTTGGACAATGTTCATGTTTTTTTCTGTGTTCAGACGTGATTATAGAATGGGCTTGTTTTGACTTGACCCATCCTGATCCGAGAGTGGCCTTGTCTTATGTTGATGTTCCGAAATTATATTCAACAGGAGAGCACCAAGGCCTCGGTGTAAGTGCCAGGCCAGCTTCTAGATGTCAGCAGCTGCTTTTCTCTTTCTCAGTACCCTAGCTTAAGCCATTCTCCCTGGATTTCTGCTACAGATTCCCAACCTGGTTTCCTGGCTCTGACTTTGCCTCCTCCTCCTTTTTCTCCTTCTGCTTCTTCTTCTTCTAGTTTATTTTTAAGTAGTCTCCACCCAACATGGGGCTTGAACTCACAACCCCGAGATCAAGAGTCCTATGCTCTACTGACTGAGCCAGCCAGG